AACTCCTTTGTTTTTGATTTTTCAGTAAAAGCTGGAATCAATCTAAATACTGATTTGAATAGTCCGAAGAATTTTCTATCGGGCGAGGTGCCTATCGCCATTTTATGAGGAAACTTGATAGTACTTCTGGAAAACCTGAAGGCTAGAAAACCAAGTATTTGGTTTTTCGAAACCATACAGCCTTATAGAGCAAAGAATTCTGAGCAAATGAATGTCTATAATGCTTTTTTCATAGGAATGTTGTGGTGATTTCCACCCTTTATAGCCATTCGTAAACCGGCTGCATGAAAAGTGTTACAGATAGGTAGAAGATATCTTATTTTGTTCAGAATTCTTTGCTCTATAAGGCTGTATGGTTTCTATATACCTCGCCCGATAGAAAATTCTTCGGACTATTCAAATCAGTATTTAGATTGATTCCAGCTTTTACTGAAAAATCAAAAACAAAGGAGTTCTTATGACTATGAAACACTGTACTGCATATATAGCATCCAAACGCTTCTTTTGCATATCTTTAATGACTGGCCCCACCTGTCTAGATATTCTAACTAGCTCAGTTTATAGAGAATTTCTATTCGTGTATTTAGTTAGTCTTTTTGAGTCTAAGAAAGTTAAGTTTACTCATCATGTAAGTCTTGTTTCGAGGGTGCCGATTGGGATGGTATTGTCGAGAAATCAACGGGATTTTAGTGAACGAATGTATCGGATTTCATATACTGGTAGGCTTTTCCTTCATTCGAAACCATTATTAGTCGGAAAAGTCAATGATCGATTGTTAACCTTATGCGGTTCCATTCTTTATTAGTAGACATTTCATTTTTGGGACAATTATTGTGTTAAGTTTCGATCCGTAGTCTAACAAATTCTGTTGTTTCTTATTTATTTATTCTTTTTGATTTCTCATACAAATAACCAGAATATGCTCCATGATAAGACAAGTAGTAGAGAACAACGTAGAACAGATATAACAACCAATTTTCAGGACGTAATAACGGTTATATAGAAAGAAAAGGTAGAAAAAATAAAACACGATAGCGTTTTGTTTCTTATTCTGTGCAAAAAAAAAATCAAAATCACCAGGAAGGAAAACCAATTTATGTTTGTAATACTATTTGGAGTGAAAGATCAACAATAGTAGGAATAAGAAAAAAGAACAATGTTATTTCTCTGAAGAAAATCAAGATTGAATTAATACTTTCCGCCACTCTTTTCAACTCTTCTCTCACTATACGCTCGTTGTGCTCTACGAAAGAAAAACAGAGAAAAAAAACCGAGAAATAATCACATGTGTTCACGAAAATGTAGTAGTTCAGTCACCATAATTTCAATGTTCAACAAAAAAATAATAAACGTCAGACAGATTCAGTCTAAAAAATAAATGTGATAATAATGATCAATCATTTCTCAAGACAAAAAAAAAACACATACACACATGTTCAGAAAAAAATCACAATACACTTTGAAGGGAATGTCGTTAACAAGAAGGAATATATGTATTACAGTCAAAAAATACATAAAAAACAAAAGATTTTAAGTTATTAATGATAGCGCTGAAACTTTCTCCTCTTATTATCATCCATTTGCATCCTGTGTAACGGTAGCAGCTCTTTTAGAAGAAAAAACGTGAAGCCAACGTGTATATAAAATAGAAATATCATGAAATACATCGTAGTTCTTATCTAATTTTGCTTTTTAAAAGCAGATTTTGTATTTTTTTTTGATTAAAGTGAAGAAAAAAAAGGACAAGAAAAAACACTATACATATATAGAGACAAAAAGCCTTCTCCAAATACAAAATCTATGTATTATCATAAAAAGAATAGCACTGCCGGAGAATATTAATAACCGAAGCAACATCTTCATTTGCCCTCAACGTGTATTTTACGGAAAAGATGAACAAATTTTTTTTGAGAGGGAAAAAAATGAACGACGCTAACCTACTAAAAAACGCAAGTGAAAGAAGTAACAAATAAACAAAAAAAAAAAACCAACACACACGGAGCAACACACGAGAAAAACATACTATTTTTTTAGTTTCTAATGTTTTTAATTTTTTTTATCCTTCTTTAAATACCAAAGATGTTTTTATTTTATTGATTTTTTTTTTGTCCTGTTTAGAGTTGTGTTGTTTCAAGTTGTACAAAAGAAAAGCAACAGAGTCAGTAAAATAATCGCGAGAAAAAATGAGAAAATGACATATTTGTATACACAGAGTTCAGTTGCCGAGAACAAACAAAAGAATAATTAACAGTAAGGGAAAGCAACTACCGAAGATGAAAAATATTTATCTGTCAAATTCTTGGCAAAAAAAAAACTTGTATTCATTTCTCTCAGGATTGACATTTCCTTTCAAAATCTTGTTGTTCAAATCTGTTATATTGTTGTCTCATATTCATATTTGATATTTGATTTCGTTTATAAAATATGTTGTTGTTGTTGTTGTTGTTGTAACCGGTATAATAGTATTGATTTCGATGATGATAATAATAGTTATTATTATGTGAACGATTTCGTTGTGGTGATGATGAACGTGAACCGGATGATGTTGAACTAGCACTGGATGATGATGAATGAGTATGATGTTGTTGTTGTTGAAATTTGATTGCTGTACGATTATTAATTAGTGATGATAAGTGTTTATACTGATCAAGATATGCTCGTTTTGACTGATGAATATGATCTAAAATTGCGCTTTTATCATCTTTAACTAGACACACAGTCGATGTAGTTATCGTTCGTGCTAAATATTCCAAAAACAAATAACACATATGATAATTTAAATAATTTGTTAAATCAAAATGTGACTCGATATAACTACGTAAAATGTACATCTGTTCATCTAACGATTTATAATCAATAAAAAATCTTGAACACATATATTTTTCCATTTTTGATAATGTTGCACGATCAGCCGGTACAAAATCACGTGCTAATAAATTACAATATTTTAATAGCCCACCACCACGCATTTGTTCTGGCTCATAGGTTGAGATCAATTTATTATTAAGATGATTAATAGCCGTACCAATATCATTATAAACACTGTAAACATCAATAATTAGATCATTTGATGTTGGTATTATTGTTTTCATTGTTGGAACACAAATAGTTGACGGAGAAGATGGTTTTAATACATTTTTAATACTATCATCGTCTTCTTCATCTTCTTCTTCCATCACGATTCCATCATCACTGCTATCATTTTCATTCACGGATATATGAAATTGTAATAAATTATTATTATCACCGTTACACTCTTTCACATTATCATTTTGAACACTTTCTTCATCATCCTTTGTCGATTCAACACAATTCACTAAATGAAAAAGAAAAACAGATTATTTAATTGTTGTTTGATTTTCAGTTTTGTTTTAGTCTCTCTAAGATAGAACGAACTCAAAATAATTATAAATTAAGTACTTAAGCAAATGAACAAAAGACTATTCATATTGAAGAAACAAAAAACGGATACTTACGACCAGTACCTAGAATATTTGATATTGTGGTTATTGTCGCTAATGTTGTTGAATATGTTTGATATTTGTCTGCCTCTTCTTCATCTTTATCATTATTATCATATAATGCTGATAGAATGGGTGATCTTGAAGGTGGTGTAAAAAATCCGAATGTCAGTTCTTGCACAGTAGCATCGTCAACATCATATTCATTATGATCAACTTGTTCTTTCTTGATTATATTCAAACCGTTAATTGCTTGTACAGTTAAATTTTTTGTTGTTATTGTTTTTGTTATCGATGATATTGATGGACACTTTGTTAATATCGATTTTGCACTAGGAAAAATAAATTCTTGTTTTATTGGTGTAGATGACATAGACAATAATGGATCGAGTGCAATTTGAAATGAATCAACTGAAAACTGCCATTGACGTTTTAATTTTTCAACAAATTTTAATTCTAAATTTTGTCCTGATAAATTTTGTAATGATAATAATGCCCATGAGTCATTGTCATGCGTTATTTTTACATTTTTATTTGAATATGTATCAAGCAACGATGATATATAATGGTGTGAATAATTGTCTGAATAATTATTTGGAAAATATGATAGTAAACATTCACATACAATAAATTTAATTATTGTCCATACGTCGCTTATATGTGATTCAGATTTTGAAAATAAATTTGTTTTTTGTTCACTATTCAATGGGGATCTGACAAAAAATAATATATCTAAATCCCGATAGACAAACTCATTATTAGTTGTTATCACATATGATGCTGCACCACCATTTAAACGTATACTATCAATTTCAATATTATTTAACAAAAATTTTGTTTTTATTAGACGAATAAAGTCTTTTGGTATAATAGACAATTGTGGATAATGTGTCTGAGATGATTGTGTAGGATAAATGGATATTGGACGATCTACAAGTGTTTTCAATTTATCAGTTTGTTCATTTGTTAATTGAATTTTATTTAATGGTAATAATAGAGTTGACGATGATGACGTAGTTGACATTTGAACAACGCATGATGAGTTGTTGTTATTTGTATTATTATTCGTTGTTATTCGACAAGAACAATTATTACGACGATTACTATTGTTACGATTATTATTATTATGCATATTTTTCTTCTTTTTTGATTACAGAAAGCAGCCGGTATAAAATCGCGGCAGCCTTTAGAAAATTGACTATAAATATATATCGATATATATCAAATGAAAAAAAATCGAATGTTTTGTAATAACAATAGATGAATTAATTAATAAAATCGGCTATTGATGTTCCTTAAAGAGAATATTTATTGTTGTTGTTTTTCTAAAAAACAAAAAAAAAACGAAATAAATAATTAATATAAACAAAAATTCAAAAGAAGTCAAGTCAGAGAAAATACAAATCATGGTTCGTATAGTAGTCATAACAACACAAGTCGTTCAAATTGTTAAAGTTTCATCTACGTAAAAATAGTTGATTCAACTGTTTAACAGACTGCTAGAAACAGTTTATCTGATCTCAACATCTAAACCACTCTGTCTTACTTATTATATACAAACAACTATTTGACTGAAGTTCTCTTCAACCTGTTGAACAGAAGTTCTCTTTAAAAATAAAACCAGAAGGTAGATGTAGGAGCTAAAAAGCATATTTATACATGTTACCGACACTAGGGAGAGAAACAATAAGAGCGTCATGATTTGTCATTTGGTATTGCGCAAGTGAAGAAAAAAAATCAGAATAAAGAAAAACAGAAAATCCATTAACATACACTTGTTTATTCCTTTTAAAATTTTGGGTATTTTATATTCTAGATACATGTAATTTTACACAATGTATTATACAATAGATTTTATGTCAACTTTATATTTGAACTCGAAAAATCATCAAGTTTTTGTTTGTAGCAGAGGTAAAAAGAACCAATTTATCTAGAAGAAAATTTGTTAGACACAAACAGATAATTATATACCAGTGTATTATATACATGACGAGCAGATTTACTTTATATTTTTTATTTAACTCGAAAATGGAGAATTTCGCGTGTTACGTAGCTATAAAAAATATACAAGAGCTAGATTATTTATATATAGAGAGAAACAGAAAGAACGCGAAACAGAGAGACAGTAATTGTATCCTAATATACATTTTTTATTCGAGAAAACAAGATCACATAACAACATCGTCACGAAGGAAACAAAAGAAGAAAAGGAAGGCGAGAGACGCACTGACTCAACTGACTGATTTAGAGGGGTGAAAAAGAAAATATATAATTCGCTATAGAAAGACGGCAATGAAAATGTACTTGCTAAGCCTCTACACAGATGATACCATTTGTAGTAAATCATATGTTCACATAAGAATCATAACTATAGCCATGGTTGACTTAGCTTATGCGTCTCACATAGTACCTAACTAAAGTTTTTCTAACACATAAAAAATAGAAGCTATACTACACAAAAATTTCAAAAAAATTCTGCAGCTTTAAAGTGCATCAGGCTTCAAAGGTTAGACGCCGCTACAGGAGTGGCGTATGTACTGTGCTACATCGCGCTTATTGACTGCGAATACATAGTAAGGCTTTTACACTTTACCCCCATGCTTCATTTTTTTTCTGTACCGTTTCACTTCAGTGGTGCATTGGAAGCAGAGGATTAACCGATCCAAGCAGAACAAAAGTGCTTCACATCAGCACAAATATTTAGATCAGTGACGGTTCCAGGCACTTTATCCAGATACTTTGCGTAGAGTGTCGAGCTGTCTAGTTGGGCTACTCGATGTTCAGTTCAATGCATCCAAATACAAGTGGTCAAACGAAGTGATGAATGTGATATCAATTGCAAATCGATGACAATCCGATGCAAGTTGCTTTTCTCATGCTTGCAGCACAAAATATTTTGGTAAACGATCTTAAGATGAGAAAAGATAGATGCTGATCTCTCCTCACGTTAACATAATTCTTTTCTATGTCAGAGGTACAGCAAAGAGTTAATGTGACGTAGAACGCAACGAGATGGCAAGATAAAAAGAGAGCCTTCCTGATTAACGAACGCCTGTTCAAATGTTCCAGTATATACAACTTTCTTCCTGATTATAAAACCCCTGCAAAACTGTTTAAAAACACGAAATTGTATACATACATAATTCTCTTTGTCGCTTTGTGATAACGTTAATTCCTAACTTGTTCTCTGTATAAATGTTTAGTCGTCGTGCGGAAATAAACTAACCTATATCCTACAGGACGAGAGAAAAAGGGTTAGAACAATATATATATATATATATATATATACACAGGCAATTTAGTAAGTGTTTTGTTTTTTTAGCGTATTTTGTCGAAAGTACGAACAGCTATGATTTCATCAATATTCAAAAGACTTGTAAAAAAAAATGATGAGAATTTTAGTTAAAGCGTTTGCTGATCAACAATATCCATAAAAAAATATGCATTTTCTTATGAAGTTGGACTTTTGGACACTCAGAATCATTATGATAAAAAAGATTAAATTTGACTCTACTTGAAACATGATTTTCTCTTTGATGCTCTTGATCTCTTTGAGAAAAAAACCTAGATTCACCTTTGTACGCTGGAAATAGAATCCCAGGTCCAAGGATTAGATAACAAGATCTTGGAAGATCTTACAAGATCATATACGATCTTGGGTGATCGTATAATAAGAAATCATAAGATTTCAAAAGATCTTATCAATTCTTATCAATTTCCTAT